TAGTCCAGACGAGGTGGTTTTAGCGAAGCATGAATTCAACATCCTCAACCAGTTGAAGCATCCCAACATTACCATCGCTTTGGATTCACTGCGCTTGCGCCGCATCTGCCGACACCCTGACAGCGTCGACCTGGATTCAGGGTCCGGCACTGGGGTCCAGCAGGCCTTGCACACAGAGACCGCACATTGGAGTTCGGGGCTTCCGCTCGCGCGAGCCCACAGCAAGCCGCACACGTGGGCAGGGCCAGCATCGGGGCGAGCAGCCGTCCTTGCGCTCATCCGCCTCCCGTGGACCCTCTCCTCCTGTCCGAGCGTTGGGACGAGGAGGAGGATAAAGGATTAGGAGAAGGATTAGGATTAGGAAGAGGAGGAGGAGGAGGATTAGGAAGAGGAGGAGGATAAAGGAGGAGGGTTGGGAGGGGCTGGGATGAGGATAAACCGTTTCAGAGCGCCCTGGGACGCTCTCAGAGCGTTCCGGGACGCTCCGAGAATGCCGCGGCGCCCAGGGCCTCCTCCAGAGCCGCCAGATCTCAGAGGTGCCCGATTCGTCCTCACGCGATGTTATCCTCGTCCTGGCTTCGTCTCTCGGCGGCGAGCGAGGGGGGGAATTGAGAAGGGGCGGGCCTTCTCAGAAGTCTCGGAAGTTCCGCGGCCTTCTGAGAAGTTTCCTGAGCCTTCCCCGAAGACAGAAAAAACTTCTCAGAAGGCGCGAGGGCTTCTGAGAAGTCCCGCCGCCTTCTGAGAAGGCCTTCTCCTTCTCATTTCCCCCCCTCGCCCGCCGCCTAGTCCCTCAAGGGAAGAAAGACCACCCGGACCAGACAACCTGCATTTACGAAACGGCCTTGGGCGTTTACTAGACAGCCCTGCCCTGTGTACTTCCTTCTTGGGGCGCGTTTCCTGGACGACTTCGCGTGTCGGGGTAATTATTCTGGGGGGGATGTTTCGACCTCTAGTCTTAAACCATGAGTTCGGATGCAACTCCTGGGAGGTCAAATCCTGATCTTCCCCTGGTCCGAAATCCGGCTTAATCCGGTTTAATCCTGCTCAATCCCGTTCAATCCCGCTGAATCCGGCTTAATCCCGCTTAATCCGAGGCCCACTCCGGCGTAACAGCTGTTTGAAAAAAAAACACACGCACACACACACAGCTGTGTGAAAAAACACACCTGTGTGAAAAAAGACACCAAATGTGTGAAAATACACACCTGTGTTTTGTCACAAAGTTGTGTGTTTGTCACACCAAATGGGGCTGAGTCCTCCTCAAACTTTCCGACGAAAGAACCTCCCAGCAGTTGCCTCCTGGCCTCCCCGGGGGCAGCTCTGCGCCCCGGGGCCGTTCCGGTGGCCCCCCGCCCGGGGGGGGGGCTCTCCGGCGTCCTGTGGGCCAGCTCGGGGAGAGAGGCTTTCCAATAGAATCCCTCTGTTGTGCTTTCCAGAGGATTCCTGTTGTGAGGCTCAATCCCTTTGTGGCGTTTTCCAAAGGATCTTGTTGTGAGGCTTTGAATTACAATCTCCTTTTGGTGCTTTCCACAAGATTCCTGCTGTGAGGCTTTCCAATAGAATCCCTTTGTTGTGCTTTCCAGAGGATTCCTGCTGTGAGGTTGTCCAATAGAATCCCTTACGGGGGCGGGCGCCAGCGCGCGAAGGTCGGAGGTCGGAGCCTGCCTCGCCCGAAGCTGTCCTCATCCTGGCTTTAACTCGGGCCCGTCCCTCTACAGGAGGAATACTCAAGAATAGTCAAAGAATAGTCTGGGGCTGATGTTTAAGCATTATTTCACCGTTTTGGAGTATTTTTTGAGTATTGATTATTTTTCGTCGAAAATCCCCCTGTAGGGGGACACGCCCGACTTAATCCTGGCTTCATCTTGGTCGGGGGTGGACAGACCTCCTACCCTGACGCGTCGATTAGCGAATTGGCCGCGTTCGGTTCGCGAGAGGGCGTCGCGGCCGTCGCTTTTGCGGGTCCAGGTCCGTCGGTTCTGGTCCTGGGCCGTTTTCACTACAGGGAGGTTTACTAAAGGGAGGTTTGTCCACCGCCGACTTGGGGGGCGGGGGCCGCGCCAACGGTGGTTGGGTTAAGTCTGGCCTGTTCCTCTACAGGAGGAATCTTCAAAAATAGTCATCAAATAGTCTGGGGACCATCTTTTAGCATATGTGTTCCGTGCTTGGGGTCGTTTTTGGGGTATTGTCAATCTTTCGCCCAAAATCCCCCTGCAGGGGGACAGGCCCGACCTAAGGGTAGGGGGAGGGGGAAGGCTTTTTCAGAAGGTGGCCGCTCCTTAGAAGGCGCAGGCCTTGTCTTCCGACGAAGGCATCTATACACCACCACCGTGCCAGGCCAGGGCCATTCTGGGCCCCAGGATGATGTATAGACCCTCTTGGCCTCGGCCAGGAGGGCGTATACACCATCCTGGGGCCCAGGATGGCCCTGCCTTGGCACGGTGGTGGTGTATAGATGCCTTCTGCGAATGTCTATGGATGCAAGGCCGGCGCCTTCCAAGAAGCGGCCCCCTCCCAAGAAGTGTCCCCCTCCCCCCAACCCATGGAGCGCGCCGCCGAGTCCTGGCTTCGTTTTAGGAGGGGGGGGAGGGAGGAGGAGGAGGAGGATCGAGGAGGATCGAGGAGGAGGAAGACTGAGGAGGAGGAGGAGGAGGGCAATGATGAGGGGGGGATGAGGAGGAGTACCAGTGCAAGTCCAAGATTCATCAGCGATGCTGGAATACACCCTCCCTCCAAGATCCCCCTTCATAGGCCCCTACAAGGGTTCATTTCCATTGAGGGAAGTGCCCCGCTGGGGTACAACCATGTAGCGCACCAAAACACCATGCACATGTTCAACGTCAAGAGTCAACATGGCTATTGCGACTCGACGATCCTGAACCGTGCCAGAACACCATTCCTGGGACTGCAACACCGCGAATTAACGTAACCCTTGCGCCCTGACAGTCCTGAATCGCTCCGAACACCAGTTCGGAAAGGTTAAGTATGATGATACGCAAAACTCTTACAAGTTCTTTTAAACGAATGTGCGCGGCGCTGAGGCGAGAGCCACAGTTTGAAAAGGAACCGCCTTCAGTCCGTGAAAGTCTTGCAACTGTTTGAAAGGAATGTGCGCGGCGCTAAGGCGAGCCACATGTTGAAAAAGAACCGCCCTCAGTCCGTAAAAGCCTTGCGAGTGTTTGAAACGAACGTGCGCGGCGCTAAGGCGAGAACCACGTTTTCAAAACGACCCGCCCTCAACCCGCAAAACTCTTGCAAAATGTTTAAGACGAATGTGCGCGGCGCCAAGGCGAGAGCCACATGTTGGAAGCGACCCGCCCTCCCTTTGTGAAAATGGTGACAGTTTTTAGCGTCGTGGCGGCCTCGGGTACAGTCGGGGCCCTGAAGAAGGAACCCTTTTCGTTGGGGAGGGGCTCCGCGTTCCTTGAGTGTTTCACAGCTTGCCTCAGGCTTTCCTTATGTTTCCGACAGGAAATCGAAGGTTAACTTGTGGAAAAAAAGGGGCCTCGTTCCTTAGTTAGGGTTCCCTAGGTCAACGCCCCGACTGTAGAGGGGGAGGTGGGCCTGGCCAGGGCGGGCCCTCCGTCTCCGAGGCGGCCCAGCAGGCGCCCCAAGGGGGGCTCCAGGACATGCCCCAGTGGCCATGGCAGGTCCTCCCCCCTCTTCCTCCTCCTCCCCCTCCTCCTCCTTCTCCTCCTTCTCCTCCTCCTCCTCCTTCTCTTTATCCTCCTCCTCCTTCTCCTCCTCCTCCTCCTCCTCCTCCTCCTCCCCCCCCCTCCCTCCCCTCCTCCTCCATCCTCATCCTCATCCTCATCCTCATCCTCATCCTCATCCTCATCCTTCCTCCTCCTCTTCCTTCTCCTCCTCCCCTCCTCCTCCCCCTCCTCCTCGACGACTCGGTAATGCTGACAGTGTCGAGCGCGCCTCCTCCTCCTCTCCTCCTCCTCCTCCTCCTCCTCCTCCTCCTCCTCTTCCTCCTCCTCCTCCTCCTCCGCCTCCTCCTCGTCATCCTCGAGCTTCCCGAAAAACACTCGACCACCAGTCGCGCCTCTGCTGATCTCGCTCTCCACCCTGGGCGTCGCCACGTCGGCTGGCCTTCCCGGCCTGAGTCTCATCACGAGCTCCGCCAACTGTTCCGAGCGGAGCCGGCCGTTCGCCACGGGCGCTCCGGGCGGCTGCGGATTGTCGTCGGCACTTGGATCGGCCGTCAGGACAACCATCGGGAGAAACATTGGGACACCCATCGGGACAATCAGCAGGGCAGCCACCCGGACACTCGCGGGATAAGCGCGGGACGATTTCGGGCACCCGTTGGCGCACGGGGGCCCGATGCCTTTGGGCGTGGCCTGGGCCCAGCTAGGGCAGGAGCTCGCGGCGCTGCTGCGCCTCGCAGGTGCGGCACGAGCAGAAGCAGAAGCCGAGTTGACGGGCGGGCGACCCCGTGCTACAGACAAGACGCTACAGTGCGGACCGTTTGGGGCTCAGAAGGATCGGGTTTTCGCGTCGTTCCTTAGAGCAGAGCCTGCATGCTGCCCAGGCCCGCCGTGGCCCGAAAGGCCCATTCGCTCCTTGGATGCGTTCCTGATGGTAGCACGATGACTGCACCTGGACATCGGCCCCCAGATCCCGACCCGTGATCCAGATGCCTCGAAGCGATCCCGCAGACACGTGAACCCGCGGATGCGGGCCCGTGGGAGGCATCCGCGCCGAACAGCGGCGGAGCGCACTCGTGTCCCGCGGGGTCGCGGCCGAGGGTCTCGACAGCGAGGGCGATGTGTCTGTCGCCCACGGGAGGCCCCAGAGGAGGAAAAGGTACCCATGTTGCCTGTGTGGGCCTCCTGGGGTGACCTCGTCGCCACCGCTGGATCCGCCTCGAAGTTCTGGTCAGAGCGCACCCCAGGAGAGGTCTGGGGAGTGGCGGTATCGGGACCTCCCGGTTCCCCCAAGACCCCGCGTCGAACGCGCAGCTCTCCCCCGCGAGAGAAGCAGCAAGGAGCGAGGTGGTCTCACACGCCCTTGCCCCAATGGGTCGTCGCATTTTCTGGAGTCGCCATCGTACGTGGCAGTGGTGCTGGAGGACATCGCGGGCCGCAGCTTGCACTCGGTGGTGCGCTCCACCTGTGCGGGCCGCCTTGGCGAGCTGGGCGCCATGCGCCTGTTCGTTCAAGCGGTAGCCGCCTTGGCCTACCTGCACGGAAGACGTTTTGTCCACCGCGACCTGAAGCCCACCAACTGCCTCGTTTCGAAGGAGGACTTCCTGAAGCTAATCGACTTCAACGTCGCTTCCAGCACCGAGACGGGCGAGCTCCTGACCCCAACGGGGACGAAGGAGTTCCGTGCCCCAGAGGCCCTGCACGGGCCGTACACGCCGCTGGCGGACATCTGGTCCCTTGGCCTGTGCCTGCGCTTCATGCTGCACGGCGGAAAGGCCCCGCGTAGCTCCGACGACGGGCCGACAGCGACCTCCGAGGCCTCCTGGGCGAGGATGGAGGAGGCGGAGGAGGAGGAGGAGGAGGCGGAGGACAAATGGAGGGAGGAGGAGGACAGGTGGAGGGAGGAGAAGGAGGAGGAGGAGGAGGACGAAGAGGAGGAGGAGGAGGAGGAGGAGGAGGAGGAGGAGGAGGAGGAGAGGAGGAGGAGGAGGAGGAGAGGAGGAGGAGGGGGAGGAAGGAGGAGGAGGAGGAGGAGGAGGAGGAGGAGGTGGACGAGGAGGAGGAGGAGAAGGAGGAGGAGGAGGAGGAGGACTAGGAGGAGGAGGAGGAGGAGGAGGAGGAGGAGGAGGACGAGGAGGAGGACGAGGAGGACAGGCGTCCGTCGCGACGGCCTCGGGCGACGCCTCCGACGGCAGCTCCGACGGCGGCGGCGGCCCCTCGAGGGGCCCCCGCGGGCGCGCGGCGACCGCCCAGCCTTGCGGCGCGTGGGGCGACAGCAGGTGGGCCCTGCGGCGGTGCCTCCACCAAGACTGGCGGGAGCGGGCGACTGCCCAGGATCGGCGGTCGAAGCTGCACCCACCGGCGGCTGCAACCTTCGACCGTATCGGGTTCGAGGCGGAACGTCTTCGGAGGCTTTCGTCTATGCTCGGCGGCGCTCTGGCCTCGGGGCGCCTTCCAGCGGCTGCGCCTCGCCGGGAGCTCCCCAGGAGTGCCCGGATCGTCCTGAACGGCCGCGGGAGGTCCGAGTTAGGACCTGAAAATTACCAGGCGCCTTCCTACTTCAAGGATCAAGCGGTGTCCCTCTTCCTTCGTCTTCAGGGGCGGGCGGAGATCAAATCTACTTCCAATGCATTCCTTCTTAACGAGTCTACCCACTTCTTCCGACGGACGGATACCCCCTACCCCATACCCCCTACCCCTGCTGCCGCCTCCAGCCCTGGACGCCAAAGGGGGCAGGGCACTGATGAAAACCTAGCCTCCGGAGGCCTGATCTTTGCCCATGCCGCTGCCGCACACCCTGGCCTCTCGATGGGTTTGGGGCGTGCGCGGGGGACTGGGGAAAGACACTGATCGCCCACAGGAGCTCCTCGCGGGCGCATCCAGCTGGCTCGCCGGTCGCTGAGCCCGGCGACCAAGCTCAAAGAGCGCCCTGGGATGTCCGCGCGTTTGTTTGCATTTAAGTTGCGCAGGGTGAGTCGGCTTCGCGTGCCAGAGCATGGAAGCACCCACAGCACTGCACGCCGACTTCGAGGCGTGAAGACGCTGCTGTCCATGACTCAAACTATCCGAGCCCAGAGTGCACACATACCCGCCGCATGAGGAATTGACGCCCTCAGGCTCTCATCAGGCAATGAATATGGATATTCTCGGGCTCCAGTGGGGCCCGCGGATATCTATATCCACTGCCTCTTGGTGTTCCAAGATATCGGTTCCCCAAGCGGTGGATGTGTGCAAATTCTGGTTTCGAACATCACCTACCTCGCAGTGTCCTCGCCAAAGGCGGGGCGACCGTTCGTTTCTCTCAGGTTCTGACAGTCTGGTATTGGCATGGATTTTGACGCCCCAAATCGGGGCCTCCTATGAGCCCGCCCAGGGACGTAAGGACTGGCTTGTGATTCGACGTCTTGCTTCACATTACTGCGCATTACGCTCGGGAACTTTTGAACAACGGGTCACTCCGCTGGTTTTGGTCCACCACGCGGTGATGCGACACGCTATCCACCCCAGTCCCAAAGCGTCAACGTCCCAAACATTTCCGAGACTCACGCCCCGCGGAGCAGAGCGACACGCTATCCGCTTGCAGGGCATGGCGTGTCGCCAGGGCCGCCGCGGTGACACGCTATCCAAAAGTTCCTGACCGTAGCCCCCGTCCATCTTCGCCCCCTCATTGGGCAGAGGAGGTGGAGGGGGAACAGGCGGCAGCTCACCAGGGCCAGCGCAGGGCGCGTCAGGAAACTGCTGCGTGCTCCGCAGAGGACGTCCTTTGCCCTCCCCCAGTCCATGTTCTCCTCCGCCCGCCTCCCCTTCCTTCCCGCTCAGGAGAAGGAGGAGGAAGAAGAGAAAGAGGACCAGAGCAAGCCCAATGCATCAACGATGCTGCAGTACACCATCCTGTCCCAAAGCTCATCCTCTCACATAAAGCCAGGCAGGCACTCCTCCTTACTGCGGGAAGCACCCCCTTGAAAGACTAGCGTCCCATGTCCCTGGCATTCAGGCGGGCTCCGCTTTGATCCGGAATTGGCTTCCATCCGTTGCAAAGGGCTCACTCGTGCACAGACGTCTCAGCGGATCCTCCATAGTGGGTGCACGCGAAGACGTGTCAAGGGAAGGGCCCATGTTGAAAAGGAGCAACCCTTCACCCGTGCAAGTGTTTTACACTCAGTCGTTTTGGGCCACGTTCCCCTAACAGTGTTTGCACTTAGGTGTTCTCACTTGGCTTAACCATCTCGGGGTAACTGGCGGCTTTTGCGGGCGGTGTCGCCCGCCGCCGCCGTCGCCGTCGCCGTCGCCGCCGCTCGGGGCGAGTGGCCGTTTTTGCGGGCGGTGCCGCCCGTCGCTGCCGTCGCCGTCGCCGTCGCCGTCGCCGCCGCGCGGGGCGAGTGGCGGCTTTTGCGGGCGGTGCCGCCCGTCGCCGCCGTCGCCGTCGCATACATTATTTCTCTTAAAAAGAAAACAGAGCCTACCCCCCCCGGATTATCACCTCCCCTTTTCGTATTGCAATTTACATACGATTCTGCCCCACCGTCCTTCCTAAGTAAGAACTCGTACCATCCCAGGGGAACCGGTATCGCCCCCCCACCCCGCCATCCTTTGCAAAATATACGAATGCGCGCGCATTCGATGATCAAAAATCAGACGTTGTCCAAAATCCCTCTTACAAAAATGAGACGCAGTGCGCACGCGCGCGTCGTGGCGCGCTCATGCCGAAATCTGTCAAAACCTTCGGCCCTTCAAGGATTTCAAAATCGAATGCCCAACAAGAATACAAAAACGAACGATTTCGCAACACAGATTTTCAAAAAAAAAAAAAAAAAAAAACAAAAAAAAAAAAAAAACTTGCGCGCGCGCTCTTGCGAATTCTTAGGGAAACAATCGTCTGTTCAACATGTCCACAAGTTGCTACCAAACGGGCTTTGCGCGCGCATGTAGAATCGTTCGCGCGCCCTTGCGCGCGTGCTGGAGTGGTACGACCCGTGCCAAATGTCACCATGCGGGCCGCCCTCGCGCGTCTGCCGGGCGCGCATGTCGAACTCATTCCAAAACGTTTTCCACCGACGCGACGACGCCGTCATCGTCGCCGGCGTTATCAGCATCGGCGCCATCATTGGTTGACCCGTCGTCGCTGACTGCATCGTCACCAGCATCGTTGCTATCATCATCATCATCATCATCATCATCATCAGCATCACCATCACCATCATCATCAGCATTATCATCATCGTGCCTACCATTGTCGATGTTGCCATGATACCGCGCCCGCCCAAGTCGCTGACTCGCAGTGAAGTGCCCGCTGGGATGTGCCGAGCGGTCAGTGCCACCGCGTTCGCGTCGGACGCGCCAGACTGGTTGGCCGCTGCGCGCGCGAGCATGCGCGGGCTAGCGCGGCCGCAGAGATGCTCCAGCCAACACCAAGCACTCGTCGCAATCGCTTCCGCATGGGTTTTGCAAACCAAGTTCCAAGTGGGCGGGCGAAGTTTCACGAAAACCATAGCTTGTTCAAAATACGTTTAACATGTTTTACAAAGGGACAAAGTGCACGCGCGCGCGTCGTCGCGCGCGCATATCGAAATCCATCAAGAACCTTCGGTTTCGTAGCGATTTCCAAACCGAGCGCCAAAAACAACAACAACAACAACAACAACAACAACAACAACAATCATTTAAGACTGGGGACACTCCGTTCTCACCAGTGCCAGGGTTTTCATAGGAGGCGGGCAATACCCCCACTTTGTGGGGGGGCCGGTTCAAGCTCTACCAAGTTTCCAAACGACTCTTCGCCACCACCCACACCCAGCTTCCCGCCCTATGACGTTCGGACACTTCACTTCGTGGCATGCGGACGACCGTGGCTACTATTCAGGGCCCCGCGGCCGACGACGACGGCGTGCGCGCGCGAAGAAAAAACGAATGTGTCCCGCATGGTATTATTTGACAGGGATGATGGCCCTGGCAGGTGCGCAACCGTTGTCGCAGAAGTTCGAAAAAGTTGCTCGCAAAAGCCCGTTTGACAGAAATGTTTAAAAAGTGTTGGGTTTCCTACGAATCCGCAAGAGCGCGCGGGATGAGATTTTGACATTTTTTGTTGAAAAACCATTGGTTTTTTGATGTTTTTATGTTAAAATCGCTCCGAACACTAAGCTTTTGGAAGGATTTCGTCTTGCGCGCGCGAATGTCCACTTTACCTTATTTTTTGCAAGGGATTCTTGAAATTTGATTATATTAGAACAAGAAATGTCATTTTATAGTGTTTTTTGCAAGGGAAAACGGATTACAACAAAACAACCGGATCTGGATCACATCGTTTTACCTGAGGCTTCCTCACGAAAATGATGAAAATGTAGCTGCGGCCTAGGCGGCGCAGGGGGGGCGTGCACCAGGGGGCCCAACAATAATTATTCTTTAGAATATAATAATGTTCAACAACAATTACTAGCACGTGGGGACACTCCGTTCTCACCAGTGCCAGGGTTTTCATAGGAGGCGGGCAATACCCCCACTTTGTGGGGGGGCCGGTTCAAGCTCTACCAAATTTCCAAACGACTCTTCGCCACCACCCACACCCAGCTTCCCGCCCTATGACGTTCGGACACTTCACTTCGTGGCATGCGGACGACCGTGGCTACTATTCAGGGCCCCGCGGCCGACGACGACGGCGTGCGCGCGCGAAGAAAAAACGAATGTGTCCCGCATGGTATTATTTGACAGGGATGATGGCCCTGGCAGGTGCGCAACCGTTGTTGCAGAAGTTCGAAAAAGTTGCTCGCAAAAGCCCGTTTGACAGAAATGTTTAAAAAGTGTTGGGTTTCCTACGAATCCGCAAGAGCGCGCGGGATGAAATTTTGACAATTTTTTTTTGAAAAACCATTGGTTTTTTGATGTTTTTATGTTAAAATCGCTACGAAAACTAAGGTTTTGGAAGGATTTCGTCTTGCGCGCGCGAATGTCCACTTTACCTTATTTTTTGCAAGGGATTCTTGAAGTTTGGTTATGTTAGAACAAGAAATGTCCACTTTAGCTTTTTTTTGCAAGGGAAAACCGATCGTAACAACACAACCGGATCCGGACCAACCCGTTTTGCCTGAGACTTCCTCACGAAAATGATGAAAATGAGGCTGCGGCCTAGGCGCGGCGGGGGGGTCGCGCACCAGGGGCCCCAACAATAATTATTCTTTAGAAGTAATAATGTTCAACAACAACAACAACAAAAGTGTCGAAGCATCCGTTTCCAGAGAAACAAATACGAGTTCTTACAACCCATAGGTTTTACAACAGACGCATGGAATTCTGCCAAACAGGCCTTTCGCGCCGCATGCCGACATCATTCGCACGCCCTTGCGCGCGCGCCGGGGGCGGGGGGGGGCACGACCCGCGCGAAACAATGCCAAGCGGGCGAGACACTCTCGCGCGCCGGCCGCGCGCGCACGTCGAACACTTTCCAAAATCTTCGTCACCGACGCGAGGACACCGTCACCGTCGTCGGCGCGATCAGCATCGGTGCTCGCGCTGGCCGCGCCTTCGTCGTTGTCAACATTGCCACCGGCATCGCTACTATCATCATCGCGTCTACCGTCGTCGACGTTGCCATGATACCGCCCCCGCCCAAGTCGCCAACTCGCAGTGAAGTGCCCGCTGGGATGTGCCCAGCGGCCAGCGCCACCGCGGCCGCGTCGGTCGCGCCAAACTAGCTGGCCGCTGCGCGCGCTTGGGTTGACGCGGCCGCAGACATGCACCAGCCAACGCCAAGCATGCATCGCAATCGCCACCGCATTGGTTTTGCAAACCAAGTTGCGGGTGGGCGGGCGGGATGCGCGCAAGAGCGTGGGATGCATCAATCCGTTTGGCACAACCAATTGCACCACACAGATTGCACCGCATATATTGCATTTCATAGCTGCCTCGCGC